AAATGTACACATTGCAAATATTCTTGCTTACCATCCTATGTTGCACCCACTCCAAGTGGTTGTACTTGATCAATCCACCGATATCCATGGTGAGCTGCTCTGCTCTTAAAAAACGTCGTAATTCGACTGATGAGTCGCAAGTTATAACCTGTAATAATTTCGTTGTTAAGCCTTTTCACTCACAAAGGAACAAATTACCTTGAACGAACAATTCTCAGCGATGGCACGGTACCCGACTTCAAGTGCTCGCTGCAAAACTCCCTCTGGCTTCAGCAGGAACACAACTCTAATCGTTCCGGGGAAAAACGACTGAAATTTGTTTGCATTTATGAAACCGCCAAAGCGGAAAACAAGAGCTTTATGTGAATGGCGCTAATCTATTTACCCACGGCATTCTATCTCATAATCTGCAACATGGGCACCAGCGTAGGATGCCCTACGTGAACCAAAGTGCACACTAATGCAAGTGTGCGCTAAGGCAATGGGACATTTTATGTGAATACGCAACCGCAAACCCTTTAGCTTGTTCTGACATCAAGGGGTTTTAGATGCAAATACGTTTTGCATGCATTTTACAAAATTAGTTGAAAATTCCAACTTTGTAGTGAAAATTCGAATATTATATACCAGAATTTCCATGCTAGAAAATGAAATATTAGATACTGGGAAATGAAGCTGTTGATAAAAAACGATAAGCATGACCCAAACTATCTGTATAAGTCAATATCGTGACGCGTCAGATTAGCACTTAAGAATGAGACAGTATCGCGCTAAGGTATAACGTAAGAGAACACCCAAATGGTCTGTTATTCTTCTCTTTTTTCTTCTTTCCTTTTACATTTTCATGTTATAGTCAATAGAAATCGTGGTGATAAAGTACACCTCCTAAATCCAAAGATATCTATATCTCTCTTTTTATTGATTTCTATTTCAGTTTGATAATAAGCTTCTCGGCATACTTTCGCCTAAAAGTACTAATATCTAGCCTTTTCGCACGTATGCTACTTGCAAAAATAATTTGCGCAACTCTTTTGAAAGCTCCCCTTAACTTCCTGAAGTCCATTCAAAAAAGGCTTCTGCAGTGTACGACCGCCAGCAGCGCCGTGCATCGTCAAATGTGGGATCGAGGTGACGGCATTGTCAGAAGGCAAAGAAGGCCGCATTATGCTAATCAATATGCATTCTGCGCATAGAAACTCGTCAGCTGGGATGGAGCGTAATGTCTCTTCCAAATCATCTGCCATTTCTCACAGTTAACTTGGGAAGGAACTAATGCTTAACACATGGGTTTGATTAGCAGTTTTACAGCTTTTCTGCTACTCTTATCTCTTTATCGAAATTGATGGAAATGAACGCAGCTGCATTATACCTATAAATCGGAATGGTTTGGAGGAAAAAAGTAACAAATTCCCTTTACGAAATGAAGATTCACATAATTCATATTCTCGCATAATGAATCATGAAGAGCGCATCGCACAAAAAATTTCTTCCCAGCGGCAGTTGATTGAGTAGTTTTTTTTCGGACTACTGTGTAAGGAACGCAGCTTTCAATATCTTAATATAAAAGAAAAAATGATGTGGCAATCTTAA